TACATTTGTACTATATTAGTACTTTATGCTAACTTTTAACAATGGAGAATAAAACTGAAATATTCAAAGAGCTTTCCTTTGAGAAGGACACTAGCTATCTGACTTCGAGCAAGGCCTTCACACCTTTAAAACTTCCACCAGGAATGAAATAAGGTAAGTATAACACCAATTTTAGTAAGTAAAATCTAAACACACATGCAGTGCATGTGTAATCAAGTGGGTAGGTTGGAGGGTCCAAGCCACAGCTCCTAATCAGATAACCTCTTTGATTAGCGAAGACTGAGGGAGAAATAGGTATTAAAACCAAGTCCACTACAGTTTGGCTTGTTTGTTTACTTACTCTGATTTATTGATTTCATCCATTCCTCCCTTTTAAATTTAGCCTTCTATAATTTTATGTCTTTGTCTTTTTCACAAGGTGTCTTTTTGGTCTGCAGAAATGTGAATTTATGTTAGGAAGCTTTCTGCCAGCGGGAAGTATTCCTATCTTGAGGGTATATGGGAGGAAGGGCGGGTTAAAAAGAAAACTTCCTGGGCCACCTCTTTCCTCCTTAAAGTAGCTTCTCTGCACTGTGCCTGTGGAGCATTGCAAAGGGTTAAAGATGATAAAAGCACACACGTCCCACACAGCATTCTTGGAGACAGGAGAAGCAGGTGTGGCGTGAGGGGCAAGGCACACAGGTTACACAAGACGACGCGGCACCTTGACCATTACATTTTATTGTGCAAAGTGAGCTGGCAAGTACAAGTAACAATTCTAATTCAGGCTGACAACCGACTTCCACCCGTAACACCCAACTAATGAGGCAAAAGTGCTTTCTTGCTCTGACTCACTCACTTTAATCTGCACACAAAAATAACCTTCTTCTAATTTTCCACTGATAAATCTTTACTGCTAACAGAGAATAACTGAGAGAGAAAACAGAATTGCAACATGTGATGCTTGAGCCATCCACCCAGAGCAAACTCCAAAATACACAAAGCGAAAACAAACCACTATGAAAGCCTTTCAATGAAACAAGAATTCAGAGGATAAAGTGCACATACACACACCCACAGAAAAAGCATTCAGTTGGAAAATTATATGCACATTTTTTAAAAGTGCACCATCCAGACTCACCATACTACCAAAAATTACAAAAACTTGATATGCAGTTCGATAATGGTTCATTGTCTGAGAACATACTCAAACATGACATGTGGGGTTACATTGGTATAGAGGGGGCTGGGGATTTAGCTCAGTGGCACAGCGCCTGCCTGGCAAGCACAAGGTCATGAGTTCGACTCCCGGTACCGGAAAAAAAAACCAAAAACCAAAAAGAAAAAGAAAAAAAGTTGGTATAGAGGTTTGGGAGAGCAATTTGGGAATGCACAAGTCAAATCAGAGAAGGTCACTGCTTCAAGATAGACAACTATACAGATAGGAAAGGCACATAATAAAAATGCACAGTAGCAGCAACTTGGGAGAAGTCACGGAGTAATCAGTACTGGAGGAAAGTGAATTCTGCTATCTGAATTGAAGATGGGCCTTGATTTGGGTGCCTATATAAGAACTATGAGGGCACTGGAGGTTAGAGGAGGCTAACAAGGCTATAATTTCTCAACTTCCTAACAAGTTTTAGGCAATTTGCCCTTCCTCGCTCTGAACCGTTACCCGCGTTTCACCCCTCTCAGATGAAAACTGCAGAGGGATCTGAGATCTGATGACCTGCAGCATGTGACTCTCGCTCTTGATCTGGTACCTCTGGCGGCCCGACCGGAAGGCTCCTGGCAGCACGGGGAGGTCATCTCTGGAGGTCATTTTGGAGCCAACCATTTCCACCCCTTCACTCTCAGTAGGAAGGACCAGCAGTACACTACCAGTTCCAAGAGAAAGCTCCACTTAGAAGAGGAACCCAGTCTATGGGTTTGCCCAAGAGCTAAACTGGGGCTTTCTATTCTAACATGAAGAGTAAGAATAGACCACAGTCTGAATTTTCATTATTTTCAGGCCTCAAATCCAAGACTCACACTGAGCACACAGTTACTGGAGAGTCAGTGACAGATAAGCGAGGCTACAGAGGTCATGGCCCTTACTTCAACAGCCCCACTCCACACATGGTTCTAGTTTCTCATCACCAAGGAAAGAGATCCTTGGACTCCTATGGTGCTTCCTCCTTTAGGTCCATATTTATATTCTCTCCCCTTGTTGAAAAACTTCAGACAGAAGTCTGCAAATAACAGGCTTAGGAATGAACTTGGCTACTGGAGCTACAGAAAACAAGATCAATAAAGCCAATAGCGTGTGATTTAATAGCCACAGAACTTCCAAGCAGAGACAAGAAAAAGAAGAAAAAGGCCCAACAATTTAACAAGTGATTTCTTTCATTTCACTTGGCACCTAAAGGTAAAGCACTTTAATTACCTAAATCTTTACAGTAAGTTTAAATTTACATTTTATAAGCTATTCTGAAATCTGCCCTGTTTAATAATCTGTAAAATCAAGGAAACATTTTAAAATGTCTCTCACAATTAAACTCATCCACAACCCCGTATAAATCAAAATTTTGCTACCATATCAAAATGTTACAATGGGGCTGTATAACATTGCCCACATTCTCATTACATGCAACACTAATTACTACCAGCAGATTCGGAATTTTCTGCACATTAGAGGCTTTTAGAGGAGCTATAAAAAATTTCAGGCACCATTAATTTAAATTTGTATTGAAATTTCCTTTTGACAGATGGCCAAAAATTACTTATTATTTAGAGTACCAGAGCTGCCTGTTTGCACATTAGAAGAGGAAAGGGAAAAATTAAAAGCAAGAAGGAAATTTATGTCACGTTCATTACCTGTTAAATGTTAAGGAGCATTATCCTGCATGAATAAATTATTTCATACAAGCCCAATTCAGCTGCAGGCAACTGGCACACTCTGACTGATAAAAACCCGCTTGAGTCACAAGCCGACAATCATAAAAGCCCCTCTTAACCAGGAATCACTTAGCAGAGGATAGGAACGATCAGCAGAACAAGCAACAGACTGCTTTGTTGAGCCTCACAGACCACATTTAAGAAAACCAGCAAACTATTTCACCTCACATAACTATGGCAGCACAGCCCCAGACCTGCTAAGATGCAACTTCGAGTTTGAGAATGCCCCCTCCTCACAGTCACCATGCTATAATAAATCAAGGCAAAACCATCCACTTCTAATTTCTTTGTTTTTCCCCTGGCTTCTAGCTACACAGGCACTTCCAAACTCACTGTGAATGATTACAGACGACTTCAGAATATACCCAGCTCTTGCATGAGGGAATATAAAATGTAATTGACATGAAAGTGTGCACTGGAGTATAAATATTTTCAGTCTGCTAGGCATGGGGCATGAGGAGACTTTTGCTTAGTTAACTGGCCTGCCTAGAGGTATGGATCACAAGAAACCAGGGGACAGATTACAGTATGGCCTCAGAATAACCAGACAGGCCTTCCTAGCGCTGCTATCAGTTAATTCTGGTCACTGCCTTTACTTACTATTGCAAAGTACACGTGTGGAACACTTCAGAGTGTTTTTTAATCTAGGTACTGATATACATATTATGCAACAAAATATAAAACTATAAATGTGTAATTAAATAATATAATGCATACAGTTCCGATTTTAAATGTTGACATCTATATGGAATTGCAAATGTCCTTTCAAATTAAGAAAGATTCTGGAAGGGTAAAATAGATACATTGAATGTGTATTTTCCATTATTCATGGGGCAGAAAAAAACCCTTAAGAGCCTCAGAAATGTTTATTTTATTGTAAAGGACAAGGAGTAAAGTAATATTCAAAGTAACAGCCTAGACTGTTGCAGGGAAAGATCTTAGTCTTCATATACATAGTTTCACTAAAAACTGCAAGAGATTTAACTAAGTTACACAACATTCAAATACTGTAAAATACAGAAAGAGAAATGACAGAATCTGTCCTTTGGCCAACAATTGAGAACTGTCTTTCCTTTGTAATCTAAGATTTAACTAAGTTACACAACATTCAAATACTATAAAATACAGAAAGAGAAATGACAGAATCTGTCCTTTGGCCAACAATTGAGAACTGTCTTTCCTTTGTAATCTATAAGTAATGCAATGTCAAATGTAACATAATCATGCATAATACAGTGGCATATTTACAATGTAACTGGCTCAGAGTGATCAAAGCAACTTTCAACTTTCACACTTTACTCACTTCCTGTGATGGCAGACTGTTTTTCCCATTTGCTTATTAAAGAAATTCAAGTTTCTTTAGCATATCCCACTCAGACCTTAGGCATCTACAAACAACAGCACCCTAAACACTTTCCCTGTTTACCTACAACTTCTCTATAAAGAGATACAGAGGCAGATAAGACAAATGCAAACAGAGAGAATTAACTACCACCATAGAAACCAAGATGTTAAAAAGAAAGAGAAAAGGCTTTCTGGTAAATAGCAATGCTTTCTGGTAAATAGCAATGCTTTTAAACAATTTTTAAAAAATTTCTTTTGAGGTGCTAGGGATTAAACCCAGGGCCTCATACGTGCCACGCCCATACTCTTCCACTGAACTATGACATCCAAACAAATATTCTGGTGCTGAATTTTGTAGAATGGAATTGTCTCTCAAATGAAACTGGTATACGCATTTCCTTATGAATCAACAAATAAGTTGACTTAACTTTCCTTGTTCTTATCTTATAGCCAAAGCTCAAGTGAAGAAAAAGAATTATTCTTTTTCACACGAGAGGACATAATAAAATGAGCAATACAAGCCTCATCTTATAATTCAACTTTGCTCTACAAATCTGATTCTGATAGAGAAACTAGACCATATTCAAAGATACCACCCACACACTAGAAAGTCAGTTAACTACTATTTGGTAAAAGCTCACCATATTATTCTCTAAACCTCAAAACATCTATGATTTGACTTATTTCAATCATTTAGAACCCTTTTAAGCATTTCTTTATCTGTGCATTTTGAGTCCTACCTTGATGGAGTCTCTGTCTATAGGCAAAACAGCAGCAATACAAGCAGACAAAGTGGTGGGAAGAAGGAAAAAAGAAAAGTACCAGTTAGTTTACACAAAATCATGCATTTATCAAACTTGATCTCTGCTAAATAATAAATCACACAGATGTCAACTGTGCTACCAAGTTAATTATTAATATGACTCTTACCAGATTTCACAAAGCACCAATCTACCTTTGACACAATTTCAGAAGGACCAAAGCTAGACCTTATTATTTGTATATCTTATTGATTTTTCTGCTTATAAAAGTATTTACATTCATGAGTCAACTCTGTACCATAGCATTAAGATAACCAAAAGGCAAATATTACAGTGTTTCTAACATGAGAAATGGTAAATCTATGCTTATTTGATAAAATAATTTACCCAAGAATATAATGCACAGTAAGGACACTGAAACAGGAGTAGATACAAGCTGCTAATTATGAACCATGCCCTGCAGACCAATGAGCCACACAAAAGGAATGCTGCAAGGTAATTTTGCATTTTTTTTTGTCATTAGCTACTAGCGATTATTCAAATACAAACATACAACTTCTTTTGTATTATTCAAATACAAACATACAACATACAACGTGTATTCAAATACAAGCATACATAGTATCATATCAAAGTTTCTCTGCCCCATCACCTTCCTTAGGGAAGGAAGGAAGCTAATCTGGAGAAAGCACAACTGGCCTTTAAATCAATTAATGGCATAAGTAATTGTGTTATCCTTATTGGAAAAAATTAGGACAGATTTAATGCTTCTGCACAGACTAGGTGAGAGAGGTAGTTAAGTCAACTGACTTCATTAATTCGTCTTCTACTCCTCAATTACCTAGACTAATAGAATCGTTTTCGTATCTGTGAGATTTTTATGGCCCTCTGTCAGTTTGGTGGATTTATAATAATTGATCTGGTCAAATATGGAGTGATTCTTCATCAGTAAGTCTTTCCCCAAAGTCAGTCTGGTTACAATTAGTAACCAGTAATGGAACCAGTAACCAGTAATAGAACCAATAACCAGTAATGGAACACACTACTTCAACCACAGGACATCACAGGACTTCATTACCGATTAAAACTTGGGAAACAAAGTAGTAGCAAGGCATCAAAGGCAACAGACCTCTCTGCCTCTGGGGAATATGTCCATTTTTACCAACCACACAAGTGTCATTTGGCAAACGACTGCTTCCGATCATGGCTTTACCTTCTAGCAGAAATCCACTGTTTGTCACTGGTAAAATTTAACTTAGAGACAGAATCAACAATGGCATCTAGAACCTACTCTCAGCATCAGGTGGCCAGTCCCAGCCTGATACCCTAAGAGCATGGCTCACCTCTTTGGTGATCGTTGTCATGGTGCTTCTTCTCATCTTTAATTGGAAGATGGGACTGACCTCCCAGGGCACTGGAGAGGGCCAGGAGCCCGGCACTACTGCCAATGGGCGGGATGGCAGGCGGCTGAAGCCCCGAAGGGTGCGGCGTGAGCGGCACTGGCAGACCATGTCCATGTGACAAATGCTGAGCCTGGAGTTGTTGCTGCTGTGAACAATCAGACCTAGATATTGAATTTGTCCCCTATATTCACCCCTCCCCCCACCGAAAAGGAGCAGCACATGGAGAAGGGAAGCGCTAGCTCTCGGGAAGGAAACATTTGCCCCCACCCCCAGAGTGTGCATTCTTGAAAAAGTGAGGGAGAGATGTGGACTCGATGAATACTACCTTTCTTGCTTCAATTTGGGGATTTTGAACATCCACTGCAAATAACTTTAGTTTTAAGACATGAACTTATGTAACTTTTAAGAGCTGAAAAATCAGACTTTTTGAAAATCCCCTGCATTTTGTTCTTAAAAAAAAAAGTCCAGCTATGATACACTTCTAATCAAAACATATACATGAATAACTGTTAAAGCAGTTATGTTAAACAAAAAAAGCTGAAAATTGAGAAAATTAGTGTTAAACAGTGCTCCCAGAACCACTGCGCAGCAGGCAGCCAGAGTTAATTTGAAAGAGAAAACCTGAATTAACAACCCAGAAAAGGAAACTGGTTGCAGCCACCGTTTTAAGCCCTTTAAGTGTCCTCAGCGGTACTTGAGTAAATTACTAAAGAAAATCTAATGTAGCAAGGCTTGGGTCCTCCTGTAGGCTTGCTCAATAACGCTGAAATAATTGGGCACTCTGTGCACGTTTAGTGATGCTCGAATGAAAAGCTAGAGGCCTGCCCTTGTACTCTTCTCCGGCGGCCGGCTCTGTGTTGTGACAGGTTTATTTGAGTGGGACTGTGATGCATGCACCAGTAACTGCGCTGACAAGAGTTTAAAGTCATTTTTACCAGCACACTGGCAACACAGAGAAAGCCCTCGAGAGGCTGGGATGGGAGTGCTTGACCTCAGCGAGCCACCTCAAGCTCTGCTGCAGAGGAGCTGCTTCTTCAGAGGGAAAGGAAGAGGAGGAGGAGTTAAGCCTACCCCTCAACAGGAGTCCCTTCAGCTGCAACTCTGCTAACAATATTCCACCAGAAAAAGCGCCGGGTAATTCTTAGACTAACATCTGAAGCATTTAAATATTACTTACTGCCTTTAAATAAATCACTTTAGTCCTAACCTAAGATAGCCAAAGAGTTCCAGCCGTATTTTGCTTTCTAAGTCGGATTTCACAAAATAGCTCCTAAAATTATTATAGGAAGGACTTTAAAATGTCTTTTTAAAATCTTTCCAAGGAAACAGTGAACTTTTCTCCAAATTACTTTTTTCTTTCTCCTATATTTGACCATCACAGTCAAAGTAGGGTATTAATTAGCTCTTTTCTCCTATTTACCTGCACATATTTTCTGGCTCCATGCACTTAAAATAGAGTCAGTAAAATGAAGTACAGACACCTAAGTTGAGTTAACATACATGGAACTGAAAATAGGAGTGGTTCTCATACTCCATCCCCAACACCTGCCAACCAAGCCTCTCTCGCAAAGCCCTGGCAAAGCTTTTTCTACCGGGGTAGCCTTAGAATTAGATAGTTCTTCATTTCATGGATAAAACCATCTTCATGCTTCTTTACACACTGTTATTTAGCTATTGTCAAAAAGTACGAGCACACAATTATATTTTCTAAATGTGTAGAAAATAACATAAAAACACCAAACAAAATTTATGTAAACAGGTGACAAATCTGCTCCAAAACCTTGTTCAACTTATTGGCAAGAAATCGTTCTCTTTTTTTCTCTAAATTCTCCTAATATTTCACATGCACTTTCTACTTCTAAGTTCAACTGGCAGAAACTTGCAAGAGCCTATACAGAGCTGTCTTACCTCTCCTTAGATTCTAAGCTCTTGAGTCTGCACCTGACACAAACTAACCCTAGCTAACTTCAGACACTGAAACATTTACATAGTATTTGATGCATTAACAAACGTGTTTCATGAGACATTTCAAGAACAGCCTCTCCTCCAAAACCAATACCTTCCACGATTCAAATTTTTTTGCATTTATTCTCTTACACGGTAAAAATGAAGCAGAAACTGCCTCATTTTTCCATTAGACCTCATCCTTTTCAAAGGCAGAAACTACATCCCAGTTTGTTTTGCACATGGCATCCATAGTAGAGACTTCCTGAGAGCCTCAACACAGCTCTTAGAGGACCTCGGCCTCTCCTCCTTCACGCCCACCTGAGAAGAAGGCTCCTTTCCTCCCCAACCCGGACCCTTTCCTGCCTGCACAGCCACAGGATCTTTTCTCCTTTGTTTCACTGCTCCTTCAATTCGTCCTCTCTCTCCCTCACACCTCCAAGTCGTCCTCTGTCACTGGCTGTGTCCTTCTGCTTGTCAGCTCACTACCGGAGTCACTAACATCTGACTGCAGAGGAAGTGCCCGTGTAGAATCAAGAGAACTCGAGGTAGCACTTCCTCGGGGCAGACAGAACCCACTACTTTAATCACTTTTCGTGTGCTCCACTGCCTCTCACACAGTGCTGAAGCACAACTGGCATTTGACAAATATCTGATAAATTTAATAAAAACAACCTTCTTTCGCCATCTTCCATCATCACACTGCCACACTTCTTTAAAGACTTACGTCAATCTGTGGGTACCGCTGCTCGTCAGCTCCCGGGCTACACAGGCGCGCGCACACACTTCGTACCCTGCCGTCAGACCCACTATTCTCATGAACCTGAGGGCCATACTCCAACAGACTGATTCTAGATTTTAGTCTGATCTGTGAGCTCTCTGCAGCCATGGACGAATGAAACTGTTCTAGATGAAACCCCTTTTTTGGCTTCAAAACTCGATGCAATCACCACAGCCAGCCTTACTGCCACTCTCTAAATGTTCCAGTTGTATTTCCTCCGGGGACGTTTCTCCCTTACTGCCCTCTGACAGTCACTTGCCTGTCACTTTGCCTATGTGCAAATTTGTTCTCACAACTCTGTCTCCTAAGCTTCCCTACCCTGAGCCTAACTTCTTGCCAGATGATTCTACTTGGCAGGCCAGCACTACCTGACGTGAGAGCGTGTGACCTAAGACTCCCAGGCAACACACACTGGCTCGAGTTACCAGTCACCATTTTTCTGTAGCCCTAGATTCATAATCACGGAATCTGGTAAATTCTCAAATAATTCCTTGTGTTTCTACCGTGAGGAGCCCTTCTTAGCACTTCGCACATGCATTTTTAAGCCTGCATCAGCTCAGGTCAGTCCACTGTACTGCATCACCAAGAGCAGGTTTTTTTGCTGTAAATTCACGTCATGCGTGTGTTTTAGAAAACCCCCCACGTGACTTATTTAAGTTTTACTCATTTATCTCAGCACAGCCCATGTTTTCCATGGCCTCTTCAAACATCCTGTCTGCCAATTACCTTAGAGCATTCTTTTTACCATTTGTTGACAAATGTTGTTGTCTTACAAAGATTACTCTTTACTTCCAAAAACAATAGACCTCGTTTATCTAAAATTAAAAGTTCAAGTTTCTCAGCACTCAAGATCTTCTATAAACCAGCATTAGCCTCCCTTGGCAAACTTGTGAGCAATGCTCTCCAGGAAATACCCTCTTCACCTTGGCTCAAGCAAACGAATCTCTACTTTGGCCTCTAAGCACTGACAGCATGAAAGTCCAAGACCATTTGTGTGACACTGTATGATTCAGGACAACAGAGACAAAATTATTACTCTCAATCATCTCACAGTACCTAAGTATTTCTTATTCTTAGTAGGTGTTCAAACCTAAGGTCAGCACTGACACTAAAAACTGATGAATTTTGACTCTATTTTTCTTGTAGATGACACTTTTCAGAATTTAAAATGTAACGAAATAAATGAAGATGTTAGCATTTCCTACAATCAACTTGCATTTGGAAAATTTAAAAGTGAACACCAACAACTTAAAATGAGCATGCAAAATATGTATTTCTAGTGATGAACTTTTAATTCAATTCTTAATGTTACAAACTATACACGGGTTCAAGTACAACTGTCACGGATCTTTCCCTAAATTAATGAACTCAAACTATTTAGTTTATACATCCATATATTTGCAGGTTTTCATGAGTTAAATTCCTGCAGCAGAGTTCCCAGATACTTATTACCTTGCTTCTACTAATGTTAACATTTTATATAACCAGAGAATTTATCAAAACTAAGAAAGTAACTCAAGCCCGTTATTACTATTAACCAAACTAAAAACTTCATTCAGGTTTCCCTAGTTACTCATTAATGCAATTTTTGTGTCCCAGAATTCAAATCAGGACATTACATACAGAGGTTTTGATTTTTCACTTCTTGTATGAAAAGTCCTTCCAAAGATCTCAGGGATGGCAACAGTCATATCATTTAATAAAATATGCCTTGAACTTAGAAGCAAAAAGAAAGGGATTGTCATAAACTCATGGCACAAGCTGCCCATTACACACACAAAATATCAAACAAAACATCATATGCAGTATGGCATCTTGCAGAAAGGAACAATTTTCATGAAGTGCTTTTAATCCTTTTATGCTTAGTGTTCCATTTTTGGAACACCCATAAAATAGAACATAATAAAATTTTTCTCTTCAAATTCTTGCTTCTTGAATTGTCTTAGGAAACATATATGAATTTCATGCAAAAATTTAAAAAACTGCAATCTTTGGCATAAATGGGATGAAATATAAAACTGTATGTTTGATATTTAATTGCCCCAAGAGGTATACGGGAAAAATACAGACATGAAACATTACCGATACTGGAGTATCACAACTGGTTTTAAAATGCTTATAATCCTAAAACCCACTTCTTTGTGTATTTATTGGCTATAATAAACTGCTCTGTTAACTCCTCACCTCAGAAACTAGAAGTGGAGTGTCAGACCTACTAGGGAATTGATAACGATTTGTGAACAAGACATTTTAGACCACCGTTAAACAAAAGCAATAAGCCACAAAAGGCATAACTGAATGGCAATCCCTTTCTCCATTAACGACATTTAAATTTATCAAATATCAAGTAACATTTAAGAATGAAATAAAAAGAAGAGTAAGTCATCTTGTCAACAGAGGGAAACTCAGTGAAGATTTCC